ATATATTGCGGCACTTTTGCATATAGAGAGCGCCCAAGCGGAAGAAGGGAAATGTAGTCCGCAGCATTTATTTGCGATAAATAGACCGTCGAGAGTTAGGTTTTGGGCGAACACTTATTACAAATTGCTGTGTGAGGACAAAGTATATAAAAATTTGCCTTAGATATTAGGATATATCGATAGGCCAGATAGATAGATAGGATAGATAGATAGATTACATTGATAGATAGGCACGTAGATATTGAAAATAAACGGTCTATAATTAAAACAGCATGGCTCATATTCAACATAAATTTGGCTTTGCGCGAGACGAACGTTTGCCCATGCTCCGCTAGAGGCCTAGACAACTTCGCTTTTTTTGTTTCCCGGCCCGAAAATGCATTAGAGTCGTTTAAAGTCATTGTATACTTACAACTATTTTCCCACCTCATTGGGGTCGTCAATAGGGAATGCAGCGCTCGAATACAAAATGTAACGGAGATGGGTTTATCTACTGGCTACCTTACAGGCTTCCATATTCGACGATGCCCATAAACCACTACAAAGCCATTCTATGATCGGGCTAACCAGACGAAAACTTGTAACCTTGCCCCGAACGTCATATCCATGCCCGATCCACATTGTCGACATAATGCCACCTGAATCTTTAAATGCCAACAATACAATTACCATTTGCATGCGTAGGCGGCCGAATATAATCCTATAATGCATTACTACGTACGGGTTGATGAGTTTTAAAGCTGTTTATTTCATTATCTTTGAAGCACGACCCGCCGAAGCCTGCGCGTGATTTTTGCGTTACGTTTCCTGAGACCAGCCTCTTATAAGGATGTCCTGCAACGCCTTCATGAAAATGGTTATATCAGTGCAGCACGTACGGTAGCTCTCTCTCTATCTCTGCTCTCTCTCTCTCTGTCCTCTCGTCTCTCTCTTCTCTCTCTCTTTCCTCTCTCTCTCTCTCTCTCTCTCTCTCCTCTTCTTCTCTCTCTCTCTCTCTCTTCTCTTCTCTCTCTCTCTCTCTCTCTCTCGCTCTCTCGCTCTCTCTTTCACTCACTCTCTCTCTCTCTCTCACACTCTCTCTCTCTTTCTCTCTATCTCTCTCTCTCTCTGTCTCTCTCTTTCTCTCTCTCTCTGGCGTCACCACCATGATACTGACAGATACTGATACGCTGCACGGATGCTGGATTCTCGCTGTTACCCACGCAATCGGCGCGATCACACAGAACAAGGTTTTTGTATTGTATTGTGCCCGCTCTCCGCGCAACCGCAACAAAAACACATCTATTCTTCGCAGATGAGTAAGAAACGGGTGCACCTATAAATGCCTCCTCTATTCGAAACTATTTCACAGTGAAGTAGTCGTGTTTGCACTTAATAAGGGAGTGGTTTAATTCGCGTGTACAGCAATCCGCGCCACGGAATGTAGCGCAACAATGAGCGATTCCTTCGTTATAGATGATGATTCGATAATTCGTCTCTTTTGCCGCGTTGATCATACAAACGATTTCTTTATTGAAATGGTGAAACACAACGGCTTGAAAATTTCAAACATTTGCGTGTTTGTAGAAGCTTTGCGATTTGACGATTATAACAGATGTGGTGTCTATAAGCGACGCTAGTGCTTCTATGTGCTATAGTGCTTCTTCGTTGTTATAATATAAAAAAATTATGAGTATAAATAATAATTACAATAGCAACGTAGTGATCGTGAACACATTAATACAATATGATGTTCTTTCCGATTACCTAGATTCTACTCGAAACTATAGCAACCATTTAATTCTCTTCCAAGATATGTAGGCAACGCGATTACTCTAAAAGTGTGTTGAAGTGTGACAACGGCTCCCTTCATTTCGTGGCTGCTACAGTTTCTACCAATTATTACTGTATATTGATGATATCATTGATACTATTATTATTACGATGATACTAGGCATAAGTCAGTAATATCGTATTCTACGGCTTATAAGACTTATTTTTAGGAGGCAATGCCTCCAAAGCCACTTTCCGTCCTATAAGCTGAATGTCGGTGTGGCTGACATTATTTTGAGCTGAAATTCCTCTGGTCCTCCGGTATCGGTAAACATTAAATTCTCAAGCCCACAAAGCTTCACGCGCGCACACGCACGCACACACGCGCACACGCACACGCACACACACACACGCACACGCACACACACACACACACACACGCACGCACGCACGCACGCACGCACGCACGCACGCACGCATGCGGGCGACACACGCACACAC